ACTTTGACCTGAGTCCTAACAGAAGCACTATCCTAACCTAGTTATCCACATTGTTCATTCCAGAAATGACTTAGTTGCTGAACTGCATGAAGGTGTTTTAGGACACTCTTTTAGTCCATAGTTGTTATACCTTTGTAAAATGTCTTCTTTATCTTTTTTTAATATTTCATTTAATTTTCCTTCTTTTATAATCCTACCTTGACTTTTACATTGTTGTAGTAACATTCTACTGAAGGGAAAGTTTTCCTCATCAGCTGGATGTATTAATAATTCCCAAACTATGGTTCCTAATCAAAAAACAAGAAGGCAGGAGCAATACTTCCATAACAAGAACTTCTATTTCACTTTTCTCAAATGGTCACAGCCCAAGCACCATGACTCCCAAGAATAGAGTATCTTGTCTGATGAAAGAATAGAATGATTACATTCTTTTACCCAATAATTTCATTTTTAGGAATTTATTCTAAGGAAATAAAAGGAATAGACCACAAAGACATAATGGGCACATAATGTTCCTCTCAGTGTTTCTTTTTTTTTTTTCTTTTTTTTTTTTTTTTTTGACAGGCAGAGTTGACAGTGAGAGACAGAGAGAAAGGTCTTCCTTTGCCATTGCTTCACCCTCCAATGGCCGTCATGGCTGGTGTGCTGCGGCTGGCACACCACACTGATCCGATGGCAGGAGCCAGGTACTTCTGGTCTCCCATGGGGTGCAGGGCCCAAGCACTTGGGCCATCCTCCACTGCACTCCCTGGCCACAGCAGAGAGCTGGCCTGGAAGAGGGGCAACTGGGATAGAATCCGGCGCCCCGACCAGAACTAGAACCTGGTGTGCTGGCGCCGCAAGGCAGAGGATTAGCCTAGTGAGCCACGGTGCCAGCCTCAGTGTTTCTTAAAATAGTAACCCATCAACAAATAAGCAGGAAAACAATAGGGGGAAAATTCAAATCTCTATCAGAACAGAATATATAAGTCATTGTTGGAGCACCCAGCAGGATTAGTCTACACATTGGATCCTACAGTCCAGTGTCAACAAGAGAAGTGATCTCTTAAAATCACCAGAGACAAAGAAAGATCTCCATCCTTAAAATTCAGTAATAGTCTCATTTATGTTTCTTATTTATTTATTGGAAAAATAAATAGATTTCAATTAAAAATAAAATATATACATCATACATTCATTTACTATGAACAATGTGGTTTTTTTTTATTTGACAGGTAGAGTTATAGACAGTGAGAGAGAGACAGAGAGAAAGGTCTTCCTTCTGTTGGTTCACTCCCCAAATAGCCACTACGGCCGGCGCTGCATCAGCCCAAAGCCAGGAGCCAGGTGCTCTTCCCAGTCTCCTATGCAGGTGCTGGAGCCCAAGCACTTGGGCCATCCTCCACTGCCCTCCCAGGCCACAGCAGAGAGCTGGACTGGAAGAGGAGCAACCAAGACTAGAAACCCAGTGTCCATATGGGATGCCGGCACCGCAGGCAATGGATTAGCTAAGTGAGCCACAACGCTGGCCCCAACAATGTGTATTTTAAAAAAATAAGATGGGAATGGGATTCAAAGGTAAGTTTATTTTGGTGTATTAACATTTGAAATTCATGAATCTGGGTGATTTTTAAAAACTCATTGAAAATGTCTATAGACACATTATAATCTATATGGATATAAGTGTTTTTGAATCAAAATAATCTCTCAATGCATTTTACATGAATTCCTTGAATGGCCATTGTACATATTGTTTTGAAATTTATACACATTGTAAAATGGTTTAATAAAGTTAATTACCATATAATAATAATGCATATTTTTAAAAGTTAAAATTCTTTAAATTTTTCTCAAAAATTTTGGAGAAAACATTTTTAAGTGTAGTCACCGTGTTTTACTTTTTTCTTCATCTTCCAAATCTTTCCTCTTTTATCCATTAATTATGCGTCTATATTTTTCCCCTCATTAAAATCTTTAAATTTGCTTTTCACTTCTGCAGCTTAGATGCTCTTTTCCTAGCTTCCACACTGAAAATTACTCCCCATTGTTATGTTTTAAGATCACGTATTATCCATTAGTGAGGACTTTCAAACTCTTCTGGCTAAAGCAAACCTTGTCCTCTCCACTGGGACCTATCACATTATTTTATTTTTTATCCAGAGCACTTCAAATATTTAAACTATTTTTACACAAAGCTATAATTTATGCCATTTTCTTCAAATATGCTCTATGAGGGCAGAATTTTGACATGCAGGCCTCTCCAGAATGGCAAATTAATTAGTAGAAAAATACGGTATGTGAATCTCACTAGCATCAACACAAGTTGGTAATTAGCCAATAACCCCATAAAGAAAAAAAACTGACAATCAGAGCAGTTCTATTTGCTACGAAAGATTGATTTAGAAGCAACAACTCAGATGTAGCCAGTAGTATATATAGAAATGTCTAACTTGGGCTGTCAGGGAAATTTTATCTGCTTCTCTAAAAGAAATCAAGATGTGATATATTTTAAGGGACCGTAGCCCTTTTGCAGACATGGAAAGGGTAGCTGATGGGCTGTGATTACCTGGGCACACAAGTGTAAAAAGTGGGTCTCCAATGGCTGAAGCACTAATTTACCAGTCAGTACATGTGGGTTTCAGAACTGGAGACACACACAGCCTGTGATGGAAACAGGTTGGGAACACATGAAGGAATAAAGAGGATGCAGTAAGCTAGTGCTTAGAGATAGTTTATAACCTTAAATGCTTATGTTAGAATAAAACACTGAAAATCAATCAATACAGCTCCCTTGTTAATTATAAACAAAAAATATCAGAGTATTGAAGAAAAGGAAGAAAAAAGAATAGCAGACATGTATGAAATGCTATACAATGTACCACAAATAAACAAGGACACAATAACTTTTTTTAAGAAAAATATTAACAAAGTTAACCATTAGGAAAAAACAATTAAGGAACCAATGGGGAAAGTAACACAAATAACCAGTTTAGGAATTAAAACAGTATCATTCTTTTGTAGAGATTATAGCTTTGACCAAGATACTAGAGAAAGATATGAAATTCTTAGGAGTAAAATTTGACTACAGAGATCAATATCCACCCTATTTTGAAAATCAGGTTTCCAAAAAACAAATATAACATAAAATCAAAAAACTCCTATATAACCCAAGTAATTGAATCACATTTTGAAAACTCCAGAAAGTCACACAATGACAATTTCAGGTCCAGAATTAGAGAATACTTCAAAATTTTACAGAAGAAAAAACAAATTTACGTTTCAAAGACCTGCCCAAAGTGAAAATAAGCAAAGCTGTTTTTTAGTTTCTTTTGGAAAACCACCATTACAGTGAGGATGGTGCAAGCAGGCCAAGACTTGAAATTAAAAAAGGGGGCTGGCACTGTGGCACAGCAGGTTAAAACCCTGGACTGAAGTGCCAGCTTCCTATATGGATGCCGGTTCTAATCCTGGCTGCTCCTCTTCCAATCTTGCTCTCTGCTATGGCCTGGGAAAAGCAGTAGAAGATGGCCCAAGTCCTTGGGCCCTTGCGCCCATGTGGTAGACCCAGAAGAAGCTCCTGGCTCCTGGCTTTGCATTGGTGCAGCTCTGCCTGTTGCAGCCATCTGGGGTGGATGGAAGACCTCTCTCTCTCTGTCTCTACCTCTCTCTGTAACTCTGTCTTTCACATACATAAAATAAACCTTAAAAAAAAAGACATTAAAAAATAAAGTTTTGGATCAAGACTTGAAATAAAAATTGTTTTATTAAAAGCATCTCTTTTATAAACAGAGCTACTAGTATCCTCAGAAAAGTATTAATGTAATAAATGAAATCATCTAAGAAAATATATCAATAGGAAGCAGGGACATAATGAAAAATGCAAGGGTGGTTAACATTCCCAGACAAGCCATCCAGGCAGGTAAAAATCACAAGAAGAAAATCCCATGGTCATTTAGATTCCGTGTTGGAAAGCACTTAGTAAAGTGCAGCAGCTAGGAAAGAGAAAACTGCTAGCAGAGCAACAACAAAAAAGCCAGCGACTTCTTTACTGTGACTGAGAGTGAAATGAACCTACAGCAAATGCTCATCGAAAGCTTTTTTCCTTACAGTAAGCCTAGGCCATGATTCCTGCACTCTCTCTCAGACTTTCTACTACAGGTGTAATAAAGGAAATAAAACAGCAAAAAGTAATTACATGGTATAAAGATCAATTTCTAAGTCATAAAATGTGAATATTATATATGGAGATAATCCATAAAAATCTAAAAACTGATGAATGAGATTACTGGAAGAATTATACATACGTGTGTGTGTGTGTGTGTGTGTGTTCTACTATTTACTAAGTACTAGCAGGAAACAGAAAATAATAATAAAGGACAACAGGCAGAAAAAAAAAAAAAAAACAAGTTAAATTGGAGGATTCAATTTTGTGATATCCTTAAATATTCTTTAAATCAATACTTTAAAAACTACAGATGATTCAACAGAAAAAGTATCACATAGAAGATGAAAAAGAAAGGCTGTGAAGCCAATAAACAGCCATTAAATGGTAACCGACCTGAGTTAGTTTACTGCAAGCTCCAGGTAGGATCCTCTCAGGAAGATGCAGGTGGGAGCCCAGCAGTGAGCAGGACCAGAGAGGAGATCCCACCACTCGCTGCAGGGAGGGAGGCGCATAAGAGGACAAATTTCAGAAATGAACCCAAGACTCCTTCTTGCTTCTGCCTCCAGCAAGACCTGGAATTATGCAGCAGCGTTATGGAGGACGCTGATTGGCTGCATCTTTTATGACGTGGTGCGTCCTCACAGCTATGCAAGCTGTCCAATCAGGTGTGGTAGCATAAACGCTACGGAATCCCGCGGAATGTTGATGTCATAGTAGTCAACCAGTTCCGTGGTGGAGAGGCCCAAGGAGGGGCTCCAGCACTCAGAACTCTGAATGTAGCCCACGTCCATCGTTCTCGTACCTCCTTCCATCGCAGGAAGCTGCTCACTTGGACCTCGGGACATGGTGCGTGGGGCTGAGCTTGAGGAGAGGGGAAGGCAGGGTGGGGAAGTTGTCAGAAAAGGCTGGCAGGATGTGGGCTTCCCAGAGGTTGTGGCTGGAGCCTGTAGGCCCCCTCTCATTGCTGATACGACCCTCCACTCAGCCCCTTCTGGTCTGCAGTACGGGGGCTGGAATGGCACCCGGGACCCCGGCGTCCTGTTCCTTTCCTGCTCACAGCCCAGGGGCCATCCCTGGGCAGCTGTTGGTGGCATCCCCTTGTCTTCCCCGATTGTGCAGTGGGGACAGGATGGCCATTATGGAGCATATGGGTTGTGTGCTGGGTTCCTGCAGCGAAGCGCTGTCACTTATGGGATCCTCAGTTCCTCCCTTCTCCCCGGGGTGACCGGATTCCCCAAGTTTTCTGAATAGTTCAGAAGCTGTCTCAGCTCATGGCCCCTGACTTCTCAGCGTAGCTCTTTCTGGAAGTCTGACCACATTTTCTGTTGGTAACAGCAGTGTCACAGACCAGGTAAGCTAATGAAACAGTTTTATTTTGATCAGGGCTTTGGTCGAGGTTTTAGAGGGGACAAGAGGACACTGTATTTTGGTCTTGGATGTCATCTAAGCCTTTACATGTTCCTTTTACAGGCTGTCATCTGTCTCTGAACTTTCAAATAAGAACTTTTAGCTAGTCACATTTATCAATGTTTTTAAAACTGCTTCTGTTCCATGACAGCCTTCCCAACCCCAAAGATATAAACCTAGTTTTTTGAGTTTTAATTTTTATTTTGATGTAGGGTGATTGTTTTCAAAGTTATTGGAGTATAATTGACAAACAAAATTTGTATATATTCAAGTCCTGCAACTTGATGTTTTGATATGTGAAGAGACTTTTTAAAATTTTATGGAAATTTCACTGTTTAATCCTGTTTTTCACAAACCTTTTGGAGTCTGAAATGATTAGGACAATCAAACTAATATATCCGTCACCTTACATAGTTTTTTTTTTTGTTTTTTTTTTTTTTTTTTCCGACAGGCAGAGTGGACAGTGAGAGAGAGAGAGACAGAGAGAAAGGTCTTCCTTTTGCCATTGGTTCACTCTCCAATGGCCGCTATGGCCAGTGCACTGCGCTGATCCAATGGCAGGAGCCAGGTACTTCTCCTGGTCTCCCATGGGGTGCAGGGCCCAAGCACTTGGGCCATCCTCCACTGCACTCCCTGGCCATAGCAGAGAGCTGGCCTGAAAGAGAAGCAACCGGGACAGAATCTGGCGCCCTGACTGGGACTAGAACCAGGTGTGCCGGCACCAATAGGTGGAGGATTAGCCTGTTGAGCTGTGGCACCAGCCACCTTACATAGTTTTTAAAAGAAAACCTAATGCCTTAACAAGTTGTGAGTATCTAATCATATATTCATAACATTTCTGGGCTGTACATTATCTACTAACTGTAAATGTTATTAGTCATTCAACTAACATCTTCCATTTTCTTCACCCTCAGCACCTAGCAACCACTGTTCTCTTCTTAAGTTTGACTTTCTGAGATTCCATAAATAAGGGAGATTGTGTGGTATTTATCTTTCTGTGACGTTTCAATCAGCCTAATGGTATACTCATACTTTTCAATCCAGATTGTGACAAAATGTCAGAATTTCCTTGTTAAGGTTGAATGTGACTCCATTGTGGGTGTATGGCGTTTCTCTACTCATCTGTTGATAGACAATGTTTGTTTATATATCTTATTCGTGTGAATAATGCTCACATGAACATGGTTGTGCAGTTGTATCTTTGAGATAGTAATTTTACTTCTTTAGATGCACATCCAATAGTGGGAATGCTTTATCATTTGTTAGCTCCATTTTTAATTTTATTTGAGACACCTCCATAGTGTTCTCCATAGTGGGTGTACTAATTTACATTTCTATAAACAATTTATATGTTCCCTTTTCTCCAATGCTGGTTCAATATTTATGTTTTTTACTTTTTTATAATAGCTATTTTTACATATGTGAGATCATAACCATTGTGGTCTTGATTAGCAGTGCTGAGTCCCTTTTAAATGCCTGTTAGCTGCTTATGGAAAAACTGATCTGATCCTTTGCCCATTTTTTATTACAATATTTCCTTTTGAATTGTGTCTGTTCTTTATATTAATCCTTTACTCAGCTATGATTTGCCAGTATTTTCTCTCATTCCTTGCTTTCACTTTTCATCTTTTCCTTTCATATGCAGAACTTTTTTATTGTTTTGCAGTCCTACTTCCTTATTTTTGCTTTTGTCACCTGTACATTTGCAGTCATACCTAAATCATTATAAAAGTCTGGAAAAGCCACAGTTTTAGATGTTGGTGATTTGAATCAGTGGATGAGAATGTCCTCTCTCTCTCCTTCTCCCTCTCCCTCTCTCTCTCTCTCTCTGTTTCTCTGTGTGTCTCTTTTTCTTTGAAACTAATTAATTGAGAAATTATTTAAAAACTTCATGGAGTAATTGGTACCAAATCAGAGCTAGATGATAGTGAGTTCCTTGTGTTACATAGCATTGTGAGTGACTATAGTCCACAGTAATCTTGTGGGGAGCAACCCGGACTGGAGTGAGTTACTGGAATTAGGACTTATTCTATGCATCTGCTCTCCCACAATATGGCACTGAGAAGGGAGAAACAGCTTCTACGCAGCTGCCTCCAGTTCAACCAATAAACTGTAGGACCTGCTCCTGATTGGAGGAGAGCAGCGTACTGGCGTGTGGGTAGCAGAGTTGGGATTGGTGGAAGGACTATAAAGGAGGAGAGAGACAACATGCACGAGGAACATCTAAGGGGAACATCTATCTTAGGGAACACCTGTGCAGCCCCCGAGAGAACCGGCCGGCGTAGTGCCGCTCCCCTGCGGAAGTGGGGAAGGTGGCAGGGGGAACCGCCCTTCCACGGAGGTGGAAGGGACGGCAGCCAACCCGGGAAGAACCAGCAGCAAACCCGGGGAGGGCCGAGCAGACGAAAGAACAGCGCAGGGTCCTGTGTCGTTCCTCCACGAAGACGGGGAGCGACATAATGGTGCCGTGACTCGGATATGAAGCCTAGGCAGGGCTTAGTGTCGTTCCTCCATGAAGAGGGGGAGCGACAAATCTATCCCATATTTTAGGAACAAATAGAGGAAAGGTGCTCCAAGGCCCTGATTTTGAAGTATAATGTCAGAGAAGGGAAAATGTTGTTTACTCCAATTTATTCAGTACACATTGTATGCATGAATTAAAATCTCTCACTGCAGTCCATAGGTATGTATAATTATTGTCAACAAAATAAACTCAAAACATCGTTCTTGGTGTATAACATTCAGGGGTGTTAAAATACTTAAATTAATATCACAACTAAAATTCTGATCTTTGGAAGCAGTTTATTCATACAAACATAATCTAGAAATATGTGAATTGGCATTTTTTAAAGATTTATTTTATTTATTTGAAAGAGTTACAGAGAGAGGTAGAGACAGAGAGAGAGGTCTTCCATCCACTGGTTCACTCCTCAAATGGTCGCAATGGACTGAGCTGAGACGATCTGAAGCCAGGAGCTTCTTCTGGGTCTCCCTGTGAGCGCAGGGGCCCAAGGACTTGGGCCATCTTCCACTGCTTTCCCAGGCCATAGCAGAGAGCTGGATCAGGAGAGGAGCAGCGGGACTAGAACTGGTGCCCATTCGGGATGCCGGCATTCAGGCCAGGGCTTTGACCCCCTGCACCACAGCACTGGCCCCAAGAATTGGCATATTGTCATTCTAAGTGGAGTGATTAGGGGGCAGTATTTTACCTTACAATGGTAATTAGTACAACTTTTAAGTTGTTTCATATAAGAAAAATGAAGTATTTCTTTAAGAGTATATGGAATTAATTTTAATTAGGGCAATATCACAAGAAATATGGAATTAAATGGCAGGTTAATTTTGGTGCAAAGTTTTATTGAAAAACATGCATACTTCTTTCATACTAAACAATGTCCATGAATTGTAAGGCCTTTGCATTTATGGGTTTAAATATATTTCAACCAAAATAAACATATTTTAATTTCATGTTACAGAAAATATGTGAAACCCCCTCACATTTGTTCATTTTATTTTCTTCCATGAGGCCCAAATTCAGTCTGCCCAGTCCTGTCTCATATTTTCAGTGAATATTCTATGCTTTGTGCTGTGTTGCAAGTTATGTAATCATAAGCACATTCTAGTATAAACACATTTCCATTAATCCAAATGCTTCATATTATGTATAGCACTCCTCATTAACCATCAGCCCCAGCACAGGCATTAATCTAAACCTATCTCCAGAGATTGACCTTTCCTGGACATGTCATAATGGGAAACAGGATGTTAGAGTATATGGGGATGGCTTTGCGTTTCTTCTCTTTCTTTGTCTTTTGAATTGCATTATTTTGTGATCTATCATTTCTTAATTAAATTTGATTGTCAAATTGTATAGGATTATAAAAGATATACTGAACATTGCTTTCTTTGCATATCAGCGTTTGGGTTGCTTTCACATTTGGTTTCATAAATATTGCTTCAGTATTCATGTGCCTGTGGATTGTGTCTCTCTTAGTGGCATACCTGGCAGAGAAACTGCTGAAGCAATAAATAATCCCATGTAGAAATTGCTTGGAAACTGCCAAATTATTTTCATAGTGGCTGCAATATTTTACTGGAAATGTATGAGGGTTCCCTGTTCTCCACATCCATGTCAACATTCATCTATAGTGAATCAGAGTCATTTGACTTAATATGAAGTGCTATTTCCCTGAGGTTTTGATTTACATTTCCACAATGATTTATATTACGTATAATTTTTTTAAACATTTATTTTATTTATTTGAAAGACAGAGTTACAGAGAGAGGTAGAGACAGAGAGAGAGGTCCTCCATCCACTGGTTCACTCCCCAGATGGCTGCAACAGCCAGAGCTGTGCTGATCCAAAGCCAGGAGCCAGGAGCCAGGAGCTGCTTCTGGGTTTCCCACATGGGTGCAGGGGCCCAAGGACTTCAGCCATCTTGCACTGCTATCCCAGGCCATAACAGAGAGCTGGATAGGAAGTAGAGCAGCCAGGACTAGAACCGGCACCCATATGGGATGCTGGCACTTCAGGCCAGGGCTTTAACCCGCTACACCACAGCACTGACCCCAGAAGCATATACTTTTGCAGTATTAAAATCTCTTAATGAAATCAATGCTTCATTTAAAAATTGTATGTTTTTTTTGTAATTTTTTAGTATAAAATTCAAGTTTTGTGGGGCCGGCGCCATGGCTCACTTGGTTAATCCACCACCTTGCGGCACTGGCATCCCATATGAGTGCCAGGTTTTAATCCCAGTTGCTCCTCTTCCAGTCCAGCTCTCTGCTGTGGCCTGGGAAGGCAGTGGAGGATGGCCCAAGAGCTTGGGCCCTGCACCTGCATGGGAGGCCAGGAGGAAGCACCTGGCTCCTGGATGCGGATCAGCATAGCTCTGGCCGTAGTAGCCATTTGGGGGCAGAGACAACATAAAGAAGGCCCTTTTC